GACGTCCATCTCATCACCGTCAACGGCATCGTCGAACTCGTCCTCGTCCGGGGAACTTGACGGGGCGTAGGAGCCATCCTCTTCGTCCTCGTCACCGTACACTTGCCCAAAGAACGTGCCATGGTACGGTGGGGGGACGTAGTTAACGCGTTGGAAGTATGCGTTCATGGCGTGCCCTTGGCGTTGAACAGCCTCGTCGAGCCGCTCAAGGTAGCCATCCATCCCGTCAACTTTGAAGTGAAGCCGGTTGAGGGAGTCGGCGATGGAGGCAAGGTTGGCCCAGGCCTGGGCTTCGGCTGGGCCAGCAGCAGAGCGGCGCTGTTGCACGGCAGTGGCAGGTCCGGCGTTGTCCGACCACTTCTTCAAGGTTTTGGTGCTGACCGCCCAAATCTTCGTGGCCTTTGTGAGTGGGCCAACGGTGGTGGTCACCTTGAACCGTTCAAGGATGTCCATCACCACGAACGGGTACGGGAGGAGGTGGTCGTGGTCGGTGGACGCGGCAATCGTCATGTTGATCATGACAAACTTTGCCCAATTGATTGGGGCCGAGTGCATGATCGCATGGATGAGCTTGAGATCTTCACCGGACATGATGGTGTGGCCGTGCTTTCTGGGTTTGATGATCCGGGAGACGATGTAGAGAAGAAGATGGCCATCGGGGTTAGCGGAGTGGATGGTGGGGCGGCCCGAGGCATGGCAGATGAGCTCGGTGATGCCAACCTCGTTGAGGATAAGGCCCTCGTTGTTGAGCACCCAGTCCTCTCCGCCATAGTGAGACACATCGTCGCCTTGGAAGGGGAGGCCGGCGATGCGCCCAAGCTGCTCCATGGTGAGCTCAATCGGCGTGCTCTTGACAAGCGAGTAGAGCACGTCATCCTCACGCCGGCGGTTGGAGTAGAAGGCCCGGATCAGCGCCGGGTTGATCTCCTTGCGCGCCTGAGAGACGAACGGTCAAAGGCCGGCTTGATGAAGCTGTGCGTCAAGGTCATCGTAGCCCTGCAGCTCCGGGTAGCGCTCCGGGATGATCCGTGGGGGAGCCACAACCCGTTTAGAGAAAAAGGTGAGGAAACGGGTGCGCTCCTCCTCGGAATCAAACCAAAGGTATGACCCGTCGCCATAGTAGAGGTGCTCCTCGGAGGATGATGTAGGCGCCCGGGATTTGGACTTTGATTTCCCGGAAGTGCCTGCCCTGCTCTTGTCTTTGCCCATAGTGAAGAAATCTCAAAAAATTAGAGTAGAGAGGATGAAATAGGTGAAGATATTGAAGGAATATGTGTTTGTGTGTGTAAAAGTGAGGAGAGGGGGTCCCAATTTATAGAAAAGGTGGTCTCCAACGTCCAGATTTTCAAAAATATGGCTGTTGGAGAAATTAATGCTGCTGCCAACGGATATTTTTTTTTGAAAAATTTGACCTGAACAGCGATGTTCTATAGGCGACATCGCTGTTGAGACAGCGCTGGTAGAATGCTGAACAGGGCTGTTGTGCGTTAAGTTTTTTTTTAAAAAATAAGTGTCAAAGGGACAACGATGTTGAAAAGTACCCTACAGCGATGTTCCAAAAGTTTCTGGAATTGTGTAAGGGTGTAAACCCATTAGGACAGCGCTGTTGGGTTATCCTACATCGCTGTTATGCGATTGGAAAAAAATTTGTAAAAATGGACATCGATGTTGAAGGTAAGACATCGCTGTTAAAAACGTTTCTGGTTTTGGTTGAAAACAAAAGTTTTGGGAAGACAGCGATGTTTAAAAGGGAACATCGATGTTCAAAAAGTTTCTGGAAAGTGAAGATTGAAGGGACTTCCTGGGACAGCGCTGTTGGCTTGATGGACAGCGCTGTTGGAAAACTTTCTGGTTGACGGTGTTTCCCTCAAAAGTGCTGTTGTGTCTCCTGGACAGCGCTGTTTGTATGGTTCCCCCTGATTTCATGAACGGGGTACCTGCAAAAAAGAAAAAGTTCTCCGACGCTCAAGTGAGTAAATGTTTAAAAAATTTAGATGCACAACTTAGATCATCGTGGAGTCAAGGATTCTGAGTTCACTTCGAATGCGGAAGAACGACTCTTTCTCTAAAGGTTTTGTGAAAATGTCGGCTAATTGGTTGTGTGTTTCAACAAACTCAATTTCGACATCACCTTTGAGAACATGATCTCTAATGAAATGATGCCTAATGTCAATGTGTTTCATCCTTGAGTGAAGAACGGGGTTCTTCGTCAAGCTTATGGCACTAGTATTATCACAACGAAGAGGAACGTGATTGATACTAAGGCCATAGTCCACGAGTTGTTGCTTCATCTAAAGGATTTGAGCACAACAACTACCGGCGGCTACATACTCCGCTTCGGTTGTGGATAACGCAACACTGACTTGTTTCTTGCTAAACCATGAGACTAAGGAACTACCAAGTAAGTGGCAAGTCCCACTCGTACTTTTACGGTCCAATTTGCAACCGGCAAAGTCTGAGTCGGAGTAGCCGACGAGATGACAAGAAGAGCCTTTTGGATACCACAGTCCAACGTTAACCGTGCCGACAAGGTACTTCATGATCCGTTTCACCGCGGTTAAGTGCGATTCCTTCGGACATGATTGATACCTCGCGCAAAGGCATACGCTAAACATGATATCCGGCCTACTAGCGGTAAGATAGAGAAGAGATCCGA